CTTAATGAAGAAACTAAAGTTGCATTTGTGTATCAGTTCAAAAGAACAGGATTAAGGCTCATGACGTTAGCACTATATAAAACCTTAATCTCAACTGGCTTTAAAAAAGGGAAAGGAAGGAAATCCAAGAAAGAGCAGATTGTGACGAATTTGTCCAAACTTAGATATTAAATATAATCCTTGCATGAACATTTTATCTATACAGAAATGGGATAAATTCATTCAATTGCCGCAAATTAAGAAGGATTCAGCAAAAATTTTGTTTGAAGCGAGGAGCAGATGTTTCAAAGTACAGAAGCGTCTCGTTTCACTCGAAAGTTGAACGGAAAACGTGATTGGAATTAAAAATGTTGAAATATATGTTTTACTCGTGGTTCACCTTAAGTAAGCAATTCTGGTTTTCGTTGAAGAAAGTCTAAACTTATTCTGTTTAAAAAAATGACATTTCTTTCTTATTCATCGTCCTTCATAGTTTCATTATGAGTCGGTTCTTTTCGAAGCAAAGGACAAAATGCAAATTAGTTTTCCATATTCAGCGTCAGTATAAACGATTACCGACAATTTTAGTTGATTCAGTGGAGACAAGGAGAATAATCAAGTGAGAAACAGTTTCTTAATGTTTCTGCGGTGGAAACCAAGCTTTAGGTGTACAATCTACGCTACTAATGCTAAGCTGCCACAGTTATAGGTGTAATTGTAACCAAATAATTTAATCCAGCTCAGGACTGCGGAATCCATTCAAATATTATTTTTAGAATACCAGTTTGATTACAATCTACAATGAGCTTTAAAGTATTTTTTCGATATTGAATTGTATTCCTTGTATCCATAAGATATTCGGATTGATTTGAACTGACGATGGCGATGAAACAATTTAATGTTTAGTCGGTGCTTTTCGAAGCAAAGAACAAAATGCAAATTAGTTTTCTGTATTCAGGGTCCACATGAACTATTACTGACAATTTTAGTTGATTCGGTGGGGACAAGGTGGAAACCAAGCTTTAGGTGTACATTATACAGCAACCTACGCTAGTAATGCTAGGCTGCCACAGTTGTAGGTGTAATTGTAACCAAATAATTTAATCCAGGTCAGGACTGCGGAATCCATTCAAATATTATTTTTACAATTCTAGTTTGATTATAGTATAATAATTAGGCAGGATGTAATTTTTCAGTATTGAATTGTATTCTTTGTACCTATTAATGAGTTGATTTGAGCTGAGGATGACGATGGAACAATGATTTAAATTTTAAGCGGAATCAGGGAGTACAAGTCCATTATGAGTCGGTGCTTTTCGAAGCAAAGAACAAAATGGAAATTAGTTTTCCATATTCAGGGCACACATGTTTACATTTCGGTGCTTTTGCTACACAAACATTTATAAAGTTTATTCGCACACCGCGTGTTAGTGGAATGTTCCGTTGAATTTTAAGTGTCTACTGCAGACTACGTAAATGTAAACTCTAAAAGTTTTGTGCTCCGTGCAAAACTTTTCGAAAAGCGCCATGACAGTAAACTTTAAGGCCAACGAAATAGATTGCGGCTTCGTCTGCGGCATTAACGAATTGACTTTTGTTGTGTAAATTAATGGCAAAAATTGAAATAATTCGGAGACGTTCTAAAGGACATATTTAAAATGGGTCGACAACCACAACAAAAGTACACTTCATACTTTCTACAATAAGCACTCTTAATTATGATGAAAATTCTTTTGTTACAGGAATTACAGTCGGAGTTACAACATGTAGATATTAGAAGAAATGAATGGGAAGACTGGTCAGATTGGTCGCCATGTTCTCGATCTTGTGATGGCGGAGTATCTCATCAATTACGTAGATGTGTAGGCATAAAATGCAGAGGAGAAATAGTGCGCTACAAAATTTGTAACATGCAGGTAAAGTGCTTGTTATATTGATGTTGGTTACATGTTCATGCCTCTATATAAATGTGTACGTACAGTTAGTTCAAAATCTCATGAACCTTTACGTGCACCAGAGCGGATGTTGTAGCATTTATGTTGTACATTAGGATTATGGGTATTGATTCGACTCTCAGCCATGTACCTTCAATTAAACTGTAAACGTTGACAGTCAATGCTGTTAAAGGTAAAAATCAATGACCCAAAGCCAAGTTTCATGAGATTCTGGATTACCTCTACCTGCTACATATTTACATCTTTCAAAAACTTACTAAGACTTTTGTCCGTTTCATTAGCTAGTATTAATTCGTTTCCTTTTTTGTGTTAAGCATTGTCCTGTGCTTACTTTAATATGCAAATTATTCACCTTTATCTCTACAACATCGTAGGCATTTTATTTTATCAATAATAAATATGGTAAAACTACGCGGCACACCTTTCCGTTATAAATTTTAAGGTGTCCAATAGGGATTCCAGATCCAATTTTTCACTGACTATTTGCACCAAACTTTTCTTCAATGAGTAGGCAAATTTGCGTGTTTGATAAAAGCGGAAAAACAGAGAGTGAAAGTTTTAGGAACATATAAATCAAGCTGGAAAGCCTGCGATACCCAAATTGTTTTCGTTCGTCGAGAATATTTTATTTTCATTCCGCCTTACGCTGTGGAGTGCCCTTTTTGTTGTGAAGAACATTCTTGATTGCTTCGGATAATTAATTGTTCTGTTCGAATTTTCTGTCTATTTGGCTAGACTTATGATATATTCCCTGCCATACATGTCGAATTTTAGATCTAATATATAATTAAGATAAGAAATTAGAATCTTTGTTTCAATCAAAAATTGCGTGGATTAAAAATTCCCAAACTCGTCTAAGAATGCAGTATAGTATTCTCAATAGGCGGTTTGAAAAAGGGTAGCGAATTTATTTTCTGTTCGCATTTATCTTTATATAAAACATTTCAGCTGAAATTTTTAGTGGACAGGAAAATGAAAAAGTTTTGCTCAAGCACATGGATTAAAACGTCCGGCAGGAATGAAATTAAAAAAATTTAGACAATTCACATAAAGCCATATAAAGCTTCTACTCATATCATGGATGTCGAATCACAGATAGGAATAGTGAAAACGTTTGCTTTAAATTTATGAAGTACCACAGATTCATTATTCAACATGACAATACTGTGTCAATATTTATACATTACAACCATTTCATTACCGCGACTTCACTGCACAGAAGCGGGCCACTCACACGAATGATGCGTTGAGGCAGAAGTAGAAACTTGTTCACTTTCCTGTGCCAATTGTGTGATTATTAGTATGAAATATGATTCGATGTGGAGTTTTCTTGCTTAGCAAGCAATACCATTACGTGCTCTAATAACGTAGTGGTTAACGCTAGCCCCATTTTGAGATAACTTATCTTACTTGTTTACTTCTTTTCCAGCCTTGTCCGGATTACTCCGATTTTCGAGAAAACCAGTGCGCTTCGTTTAACAACATTCCCTACGACAACCAATTACTGCGATGGGTCGCCTACTACGACGACCATAACCCGTGCACTTTAATGTGCAAAGGCAAGCCAACCGATTCCTCCGAAACTAAGTCCGAAGAAGATACAGTAATGGTGGTTGCCAAGTTAGCTGATAAAGTCCACGACGGGACGAGATGTCGACCAGGAAGTCTTGATATGTGTATAGACGGAAAATGTCAGGTAAACATTGTTACAAATTCTATGTTCAGGGAAACTTAAGATTTCGGTCAGTGATCTGTCGAAATAATTAGGTGAGGATTGTGATTTCTAAGTTTTTGGCTCATGTCAGTATGTCGCAAACGTTTTGAGAGAATAAACCTGGTTTTTGATCAGGAAAATGTAAATGTGAGAAGACGTGAACGACGAACACCGTTAGAGAAGTTACTGAGAACCTAAATTTTTACTAATGATTTGGACATGAGACGGGTTGCCGCAAAATTCGTACCAAAATTGGTCAGTTTCGACCAAAAACTGCATCGCATCATAGATATAGCTAAGGAGCTGTTGGACTCTGTCCGTGACGACCTAAATTTGCTCCAGAGGGTCATAACTGCTGACGAATCATGAGTTTACAGTTATGACGTGGAAACCAAAGCTCAATCATCCCAATGGAAGCTGCCGCACGAGCGAAGACCGAAAAAAGCACACCAAGCACAGAAACACCCGGATTTGTGGAAGAACATAAATTAGCTTTTGCACCATGATAACGCCCAATGTCCCTGCTCACACATCGTTGCTTGTATGCGAATTTTTGGTCAAAAACAACATACTAATAATACCACAGCCACCGTATTCTTCAGATTTGGCCCTCTGTTACTTTTTCTTGTTCCTGAAACTGAAGAGGCCCATGGAAGGACAATGCTATGCTACTATTGAACGGCATCGAAGAAGGAGCTGAACAAGATCACAAAAAATGATCTTTTGTAGTGTTTCGAAGATTGGAAGAAAACGTTGGTACAAGTGTATAATATCTGATGGGGATTACTTTGCAAGGGACAAAATAGATATTCATAAATAAATAAATAATTTTTGAAAAAACACAACACTCGCGATATTTTTTGAACAAACCTCGTAGTGTTGCAATCCCTAAATCATAAGGCTTTTGGGGGACTCTTTTTCTCCACTCCCCCCCTCTCTCTTGGATCCATATTTAGATAATCTAATCACTTCTTACATTTTATTTGTGTTTTTGATTTTAAACACCTTTTAACATTGGTTCATGAGATTAATTTTTGTTTCAGAGGGTTGGTTGTGACCTGCGGATAGGGTCAACTCTTCAAATTGATAACTGCGGCGTTTGCGGCGGGGATGGTACTTCCTGTTCTCAGCCGTTGTACCATTGGACTCTTAAGTTCGTTTCCCTATGTTCAGTGACGTGTGGAGGGGGTAAGTTTTTCAATAACGAAGTTCATTAAATAGTCTGTATGATACATTTTTATACTAAACATATTAAGAAATTGTTACTTGGAACATTTTTAGTATCAACATTGTCTAAATTGATTCAATGAGTCATTTGAAAAACTTTAAAAAGGATTTGCTATTCTGATCTAAATTCGAACAGTGTTTTATCTGATGCTTTTTATTACTGGATTATACGTTTTTTTTTTGCAGGCTATAAAATGACAAGTCCAGTTTGTCAAAACCGAGTTACTGGAGCTCAAGTCGAAGAGGACCTTTGCAATGCTTCTCAGAAACCGGATGCTTCTGTTGTTAGATGCAACATTCACAGTTGCCCACCAAAGTAAGTCTTAAAAAATGATATTATTCCTCGACGTCTATTATTCACATTTGGTTAGTAATCAATTAATTAATACGTAGTCAGAAATGGTAAAATAATATCTTATTAGACCACTCCTAGGCTAAATATATATACGAAAATGTTTTGGATAACCCAAGATCTTCCTTCTTCTGAGTGTCACAATACCTTTGGATATAATTTTGCTTGGAGTACTGGTGGTAGTAGAGATAGTGCAGAATTTCATGGCCTCAGACTATTGATTTCTAAATTTTTACATCTTAAGAAACATTGATAGACAGTGTTTACATTTTACCTGGAGCTTTATCACTTGCGAGGCACATAATTAACAGTCGAGTCCATGTTCCTGTGATGCACAATATGAATTCAACAAGGTCCGTCATTTGCGTACGAGAAGGCTCATGAAATTTAGTTATAGCTATAACATTTTGCTTCCTTTATTCGGGAAACAGCAATGTCTGTGTTCTTTTCTAATTTTCGGAATAAAGGGTCATTATTTTATCCTTATTTACTCATATCCTTCGCCATTTTAGCACTGCAAAGCCTCTGAGTAATCTCTTTTCCTGATATCTGAATCGCGGTTCAGGTGGGAATGGTTGAGAGATTAAAATAATAGCCGTATTTATCCTCTAAAGTACCTACACGTTGTTAATTTTATGGGCGAATATTACTAAAAACATTTTTTGAATGCAAATAAAACTGTTCCGAAGGTCCTATACTGTGGAAAAATATATAAAACTCTTAGAAACCAAGACCGCATTTTATGAGAAACTATTCGAAGGGGTAGGTAAATTTAAAAATAGGACCGTTCCTTTATTGTTACAATATATTTGAGTCATCATCATAAGGTCGTCAGTCCTAAGACTGGTTGGAACGCACCTCCACTCTTTTCTATCCTGATCTAATCTTCCCATTTCCCTAAACTACTATAGAACATCCCACATCCTTAACTATTTGCGAACAGTAATCTAATCTAGGTCTACCTCTACCCCTCCTAACTCCCGTTTCCGCCTCTAATATGTCTCTCACTAGCTCTTCATGCCTGAGAAGATGTCCTACCAATCTATTTCGCCTATTTCTTACTGACTTCCATAAAGTCCTCTGTTCTCCTATTCTTTCTAATACCTCTTCGTTTCTAACCTTTTCTATCCATGATATCCTCATCATTCGCCGGTAACACCACATTTCGAACGTTTCTAACCTTTTCTTTTCTACCGCGCCCACCATCAACGTTTCGCACCTGTACAGGGCCGTCGTCCAGACATACAACTTTATTAAACTTTCAATTTTCTAAATTCGCGAGCATAGAAGTGACTTCTTTTTGTCAAAGGCGACATTTGTTTTATATCTACTGCTCCTACCATCCTAAATTATTTGACTTCCTACATTTCGAAAATTAGCAGGAAATCAAGATACGGAACAATAATTATTATTACTTTTCCAATTTGTTCAACATCTGCAATACCCGACGATAATAATAATACGTACATTACTTCTGAGCCGTAAGTACATCTTTTCCTTTACGGTTTCAAGGAGTGACATTGTGTCACGATAATCCTTGAAGTGTGGAAAACCGAAGTCGTAGAACTCGGCACGTCGAATGGGAGTATTATCGAGTGTATTGGCCAATCAAAATATTCTTCAAGTTACCACATCCCGATGGCATCGCTTCGATCTCGTTGGCGTCGGATAGCTTCAATAGAACGACAGACAATGCATTTGGCTTGTTTGTTGGCAGCCTTCCTTCCCGTTTTCGTCGTTGTTATCGTTTAGAGTTCGCAGTTGCATTCGCTGCAACGGAGAGGAATTTTCTAGTATCTACTAATAAAGGAATGTCATTGCCTTTGAAGCAGAAAGTCGAAGAAACCCCTTGTTGTTTAGGTTTTCGTGGTAATAAATTTATTCATTTTTGGATAAAGAAATAGAGAATTCAAATAAAACAGCAAAACCCAAAATTCTATTATATTTAAAATATAAAAACCAATAAACTCTACAACCCTTCTTAGGTAGCTTAATTCTTGTCAATTAAGTAGATGCTTAGTTACTGGAGGACTATATGGAATTTGGAATTTGAACTTTCAACCCCCAAGGAGGTGACATTAGGAAAACATATTTTGTAGAAGATGATACCGTAGTATAACAAACTTTTCGCAAAACTTCAAGGTTCCTGACTCAAAAATTTATGGATACATCAAACTTTGAAATTCCATTTCATCCCTTCAGGAGTTGGATTTTGAATAATTCTTCTTGATATGTCTGTACAAAAATCTTTATGTACCTAGACACAGGGGTCTGAGCTGGTAGTTGATATATCAGCCAGACAGTTTATCCTTTTATAGAACGAGTGGCATGACTTAGAGGTCTAAACTTTAGACCATTGCTTAGTACCGAGGGCATCGGTTCGATTCCCAAAAGAACGTCAAAGAGCCACAATACCGTCTGGCACAGTCCGGAAGGACTACCCGCCTACCAGCATTAGTAGTTGGTGGGAACGAAAGGTCCAAATGTTTTCTCTTTGTTTTTTTATAAATATATATGAAGTACGTAGAAAATGTCGACTTTTAGCGTAGGTATTAACCTTGGCCGCATCCGAACAGCTTTCAAGTGAAATAGCGGTTAACTCTATAGTTTTCTTTCTATACCTTCTACGAACTTTTGAACTGTTCAATACGCTTTGTTTGGGTACTGGCGTGAGGTTTTTGTTTCGATAGATCCGAAACGCTCGAAGTTTCAAATAAAACGATCTTGAACTTTGCAGACGCAAACATGCTCCTTCTTACTTATTTATTAACTTTTGCCGAACTTACTTATCAAACTCGTGCTTTGAATTTGTTATTTATGAAGTTGCGCTATCCCAACAAAGTGTTTGAAAAGCTATTCAAACCGCCATTCCCTCACACGAGTTAATTTATGTGTGATTTAAGCCCTTTAGGAGTTGGTACAAAGGTAATACCTTTGCCAGGGAAAAAAATAAATATAAACATTTAAAAACGTTACAGCACGAAACAATAATTACTGTTATGTTTTCTTTCTGTAGACACCAGCAGCTACGCGACTACAATTTTATTTTAGCTTTTAGAGAATCACTTTTAGTGCCTACTTTCAGAAAAAGAAAATGAGGATTACATTTATAATTGCAGATGGCATGCCGCAGACTGGGAAGAATGTTCGGCCAGTTGTGGAGGAGGCATTAGAACTCGACAGATTTACTGCGTTGAAGAAACAAACAACACGAAAATAAAGGTAATCGTCGTTCGTTACACGCTTTTCCTTTCTGCAGAATTATCTTTTTTCCAGGTTGACGAAGAGAAGTGTTCGTCAGCCAGGAAGCCGAAGTTCCAAGAGCCCTGCAATCAAGTGGATTGTCCTAAATGGCACACGTCTCCTTGGTCGGGGGTAAGTTTCACTAGCTTATCTTCCTCAGCGATCCTACGTGGAAACGATTAATTTTTGTTAACTGCCTTAATTTATCATTAAATTACGTCGAGATTGAACAGCAGGTAATTAGATGTGTCAAGAGAACTCGCCACTTAATGTTCTTTTAAGTTATCTGCGTGTTACTTGTAGAGGCGGTTCACGTGCTGCAGAAACACTCTAAATAAATTAAAATACAAGCACAAAAGGGTGAAAACTAATTTTGCTTTTCCACTAATGACTCCAGTCTCCTTTTCAAGACAACCGTCTTCGTATTAATGCTAAATTATTGTGACATATGGTCATTTCTAACCTTCTCTATTCACGGTATCTTATAGGTGAATGATGAGGATATCGTGGTTAGAAAAGGTTGGAAATGAAGAGGTATTAGAAAGAATGGGAGAACAGAGGACTCTATGGAAATCAATAAGAAATAGATCGGTTAGTAGGACACCTTCTGAAGTATGAAGGTCTAGTCAGAGACTTATTAGAGGCAGAAACGGGGGTTAAGAGGGGTAGAGGTAGATCTAGATTAGATTACTGTTCACAGTTAAGGATGTGGGTTGTTCTAGTTTTAGGGAAATGCGAAAATTAACTCAGGATAGGAAAGAGTGGAGGTACGTGACCAACCAGTCTAAGGACTGACGGTCTTATGATGATAGTCATTATCACAAGTTCATCCATTCTTTTCTACCATAAGTCAATCTTTCAGAAACTAAGTAGATCATCCAATGTAATTAGAACTTTCTTTTTTTGTTGACTTCCACAACTATTATTTCCAATGGCTTCTTATTTCTAATTGTTTTTTCATCATTCGCTTCCTGTCTGCCGTGTCCACCGGGTAATAAATTCAATATTCCTTTCAGTGTTCAGTGTCGTGCGGTGAAGGAGTTCAAGTTCGAATAGTGGATTGTCGTGACGCTCACGATTATCCTAGTGCATTCTGTGATCCTGACTTAAAGCCTACGTCTTCTAAGCTTTGTTCCACTGGAATTCAGTGTCCCACTTTCCACAATTCCGTTGAGGAAATTTTACCCAATCTTTACCACACACAACCCCTCGTTCATCCCTATCCGCCACCTGCGCCAGCACAGGCGGAACGACTTATTGGCACACAAATCGTACCATCGGAGACCACGTAAGTTTTAATCCTTCAGTAATAATAATTGTAGAAGTTGTTATACCTAATTGCGTCTACGTAAAGCTAAATTAAACGCCTCGGTAATGAAATAAATATTATTACCTAGTTATTGGTTGAATTTTCGAAAATTGAATGTTGAAATATCAAAAAATGCTCTGATAATCTTGTACCTGTAATGGAAAAATTCTATAGGTAAAGGAAACCGTTCACTGAACATACAAGTTATATTATTTGTCGAACGTGTGGATGCATTTTTTCAGTCACATCTATCTGAAAGTATCCCCTCCTGAAGATTGCTCTGAATTAATCGAACCCTCAGAATCTCTTGAGCAAAGAAGAATACCCCTCGAAAACTTTAAATTGCATTTGTTAGACTTACTTTACTATTCATGCGAAAAGAAGGCTGATACAATTTTTTTGATAACTGCATGTAGTTGTTATCTCTTTTGGACTCTAAACTCGCCACAAGTGTAAACGGAATTATTTATCTCTCTGAAATGTCAACAACAACAGAGGATTGATATAAGTATAAATACGAAAGTAAAATGAAACTTTTTTATATATGATACAATATGTATGAAGATACGTTCAAGTTCATGGTACAATTGCATAAAAAATGTAAACAAAATCTAATCCTGCTACAGAAGTACAAAAATACACTGCACACTGAATATAATTAAATTTGCTTACAGTTTCTTTCTTCGAGGGTACTTTCTGTCTCTCTTTTATTCACATTTAATATTTGAAAGCTTAAACATGTAAAATTCTATGTGTATTTATCGCAGTAGGATTATATGTTTTAATATTTCTTGGTTTGCTTCTATCTACCCCGTTATACTTCAGGTAGATACTTCTTTTTTCTTGTGTGTATGTTATTTTCCTTAAAAATACAACATTTATGATTTTCACAGATTACTTAAGTGTTCGTCAATACTTGTTTCTTGTATTTTATTCTAACTTCTCTGCCTAAAGAGATATCACTATGTTAATAACCTAGTGTAAATGACCTTAACGTATGAGAATAGTTTAAGTAAGTTCATGGTCAGACTACTGTCGGAACTGTCATTTGATCTCATTAGTACACCAGAGGCAGTTCTGTTAGAACAACGACCTTTCGATAACGCTGCTATCTATAACAGTCAAATTGATAGATATCCACAAAATGCGAAGTAAACGCCCTCTGCGGGGATTTTCCACAAATAAAAAGTATATACGTGTATATATACATTACCAGTAGTATGCAATAACAACATTTCTTGTTTTGTGCATAGATCTGTTGCATTTTTTTTCATTTAATTCTTTAATTAGATATTACCGGGAAATGCTGCCAGCTTTTCTTTCACGTCCAGTGGGTACTAATGTAAATTACATATCATAATCAGACTTTAGAGTTAATTTACATTGATTTTTACAAAATACTTGGAATTTGAAATTTGAATTACTATTACTTACTTAACGTGAAACCCCTTAATAAATACATACTTGCAATAATCATTAGTTACTTAATATCTGCTGGAATTCCTATGACGTAGTTTTAAATATATGTTTGCTTTATGTGTTTTCAGCACATTCAGACTGTTCTTTGTCTGCGGTTGGGTGTATGTGAGGTATTCCTTCGCTATATTTTCAATTATTCTTTTCCAGCACATTTACTCAATGTATATATATATGCACCAATAAATTCAGAGTAACTTGCACAATAAACTTTTTAAATTACAACTACAACTGTACTCAATTCTCTATTTTATTAATTTATTAATGGTTTACATCTCTTGTATAATGCAATACACGGCTTTAAATCACATTACGAACTTTTCAGTATTTATTTCTGGTTTGACAAATTGCATGGTTGCTGCTTTCCATAANCTATCAATTTTAAGAAGCATGGCGAATGTTCTGGAATGCCCTTAACACTAATACTAACATTAATTTATATTAATACAATTCCTGCCATTAGACACTTCTCTTCTAGGTTCATTCCCGAAGAGTGGGGTCCTTGCAGTGTAACCTGCGGCGAGGGCATTCGAAAACGCGAAGTTCATTGTAAAATATTTCTAGAATTTTCAAAAACAATCGCTAAACTTCCCGATCAGCAATGCACAGGACCGAAACCTATCGAAGTAGAAAAGTGTTTTATGGAGTCTTGTTCTTCCGAACGAATCGACATAAAAGACGATCCTTATCGGTCTGAGAATATGCCGCCGGGAGCAACGTATTCCTGGAAGACGGAGGGTTTTACCCAGTGCACGGCGTCATGTCTAGGCGGTGTTCAGGAACTTATAGTGAAGTGCGTTCGCGATGATACACAGAAAGAAATAGCCTTTTACATGTGTCCGAAAGAGACAAAGCCTCAAGTGGTTGTGCAGGCGTGCAACGACTTTGCGTGTCCTCCGAGATGGAATTTTTCCGATTTTTCGTCGTGTTCTCAGTCGTGTGGTATTGGCATACAAACTAGGGAAGTACACTGCATTCATGAAGTTTCTCAAGTAGGAGGAAGTATTATTAACGTCCCTAGTGATAGATGTCCTCAGCCGGCACCGCCCGACAGGCAATTCTGCAATGTCCTCGATTGTCCAATAAGATGGAAAACGTCCGAGTGGTCAAAATGTAGTAAGAGTTGTGGCGGAGGCGAGAAAACACGCAGCGTGGAGTGCAAACAGGTCATGGCCCAAAACCATACAGTTGAAAGACCCCTGTCTGCTTGCCCCGGCCAAAAACCACCCGACAAAAAACCGTGCAACACTAAAAGCTGTGTAACTGATACAGATAAACCCATAATCGATACCCTAAATACGACATACATTCAACACGATTGGAAAAAGGACAAGGTATCCCTTAGGGTTGGTGGTGCAGCCACCGTCTTCTCGGGTACGACAATAAAAATTAAATGTCCGGTTAAAAGGTTCAATCGATCGCTTATTGCTTGGACAAAAGATAACAGTCGTTTGCAGAATATTAAAAAATATAAAGTATCAAAGAAGGGGGCGCTACGAGTGTTGAACATCAGTCATAAGGATCATGGGATTTACACTTGCACTGCTGGAAAGTCTTCCGCTAGTCTGACGTTAATGGTGAAACCTAGACCAGGAGAATTTCCGTCGTCAGAAGAAATACAGAAACATTCGCAAAAGTACATGGAGAAACAGGGACGCCAAATTGGATTGTCCAGGTATCCGACTATGGTTCCCGATTGGAATGAGGATCTATCCCATGAAGGTCAAACGGAACTAGTTAGGAAAACTTCCACGAGCAAGAGCAAAGCTCCGACATATTTGTCAGTTAGTGAAAAACCCATTAGCAGTAACAGTCTGAATGGCTTGCCTCCCGACGACATCAACACGAATTTCGATTATAGGGTATGTACCTACCAAATTTATGGGTTCAACATTCTCAAAAGGGTTTTGTCAGAATGCATTATAAAATACTTGTACGAATAATTCACATGCAAGTCTGTTCAAATGTATCAAGGAATTCTTGGTATATTTAGATACTAAAAAACTCATAAGTCGATTAATAAAGCAAGTTCGTACTTGTTATTTGTACTGTCAAATTCATATTCAGGTCACTCGTATAGAGCTGGAACATCTAAATTGTTTATTTGAAAGTGAAAAGTAAAACCAACTTGCCTACTGTATTAGTAGGTCAATTAGCAGCTGTTTAAATAGCCGTACAATAATTATAATGAAGAAGAAGGAGAAGTCGTCAGTCGAGGGTCGAATTCAAGATCATGATAATACAGGGTGGTGAGACGGCTTATCGTTTTCACTCACCTTGTGATTGTCCTCTACCATTTCTATGTTCCCCAATATGTATAACATGGTGCGGTAGTTATATTGCTAAATAAATAAATGGTGGACGTACAGGGAACATGTTAAAATGAAGCGAATTTTCCACCATGTTATGAAGAATTGGGTATATATGTTTATTTGGCAATATAACTACCCCACCATGTTAGACAGCGACGAACGTTATTAGATAATTGGGGAACGTGGAAATATCACAGGGTGAGTGAAGACGGTAAGTCGTCTCACCACCCTGCATCATCATGATCTTGAATTGGACTGTCGACTGACGACTTCTTCTTCTACATTATAATCATTGATTCCGCTATTTAAACTGTTGCTAATTGACTTACTAACACAGTAGGTAAATAAGTGTTGCCTTGCAGTTTTAAATAAACAATTTAGATATACCAACTGTGTTCCAGTGACCTGAATATGAATTTATGAATACTATGCAACAGTACCTTATTTATCAAGTCTCCCCTTTTTACGCTGCCAGGATGTGTCTTTAAACACGCCCGCTTTATCGAATTCCGAAGCGGGTGTTTTAGAAGGCACTTCAAGTTCAGGAAACCGTGTTATGCCACACTTTCAACAACTTTTGTTAAATTTGCAGGTAAGGAATAAATATTCAATGCGTATAATCAAATAATCATGCATACATATTAGAACAAATAAAATAGCTGAATCCCCAACGCCTTCGGACAACTAAAGTGTCGTGTTTTGGAGTTGGGATTTGAGCTATTTTGTTTGTTCTACAACAACCGCCAAAGTTTTTCCAATCTTCATATGCATATATATTATCATAATTACCAACAGAAAAGTATAAATGTAAAATCAGCAACCTCTACTTCTTCGTTTCTAATTTAAATAAAGTGTATGTAACTGGATGCATTAATGAATAATCGCAGACAGCGTTGTAAACGCCATCTGTAGAGATTTATCTTTAGTAAATGTTGCAAACCCAAAATTGTATTAGTTGCGTTAGCTGTGGTAAATACATCTACCGAACTTTGAGAATAAAATCAGAGAGAGTGTCATAAACAGTACAATCATGCAGGCAAAATCTACTATGTATTTGCTGTATACAGTTATGGCCAACTCTTTCATATGCATACATGAATATATGTATGTATGTATATATGTATGTGTATATAACGCAATGTAATGTCCAATGCAGAATATCTAGAAACCCTTCACATCGAAATTGCTTTGTAGTGCAGGATTTAACTTGACTCTGTTTTTCAATTTCATACTCACTTTGCGCTGCCATAAATGCAAATGTATCTAAACGTACATGTACGTAAAGAAGAGAGCACTTAATCTGGTTTAAATTGTTACGTATATGACATTCGATTTCGCATACAGTCAAAGCAAATGTTAGAATTCTTTGTGTTTACTAGGAAATAAAAGATGTGACAAAAGAAATTTAATAACATAACTTTGTAGTCGAGGATTAGGAGTGACGATACAGTACGGTAAAACGGTAAAACCTCTCAACAGCAGTCAACGTATAAAAGATAATCTGATACGTTGAAGCCTCTCAATCTCTGCTACTGAAAATTGCATAAAAATGGGAACCCCTTGAAAGGGATGACCGTTAGGTGCTTCAAGATAACAAAAATTCATTACAGTTGAAGTGGTATATAATTTACAAATTATATACGCATATGTAATATAATATAAAACATAATAAAGTGCCTAATGGAATTATACAGGGTGTTCCTGAAATAAGAAGGAAGCTTGCAGGAGATGATAGGTCATTAAAAAACAAGAAAATTAAGTAAATGTTTAGTGGCTCGAAAATCCATCGTCAACCGTCACTGTTTACATTTTTCATCGATGTAGTAGTTGCTTAACTGTTATCGCAATTTCTCCATAAGTTACCAATTCACGCCCAGGGCCGGCTTCAGATTACAACTTCGCCTGGTTTTCCTACAATTTTTTGTCCCTTAATCACGCTGTTTTACTCACTATGCGATTTTCTATTGTATCTAATAAATACCTTCCAAAGTTAGCTATTAATTTCAGAAACACTCTGTATTTTAAATCTTTAATTTCCTTCTAACTATAGAAATGATTGGTTATGTTAATGGCCGCTATTAAAAATAGAAAATATGTAATGTTGCCAAAAGATAATGATTGAAGCGATCGTGGTTGTTTAAGGGAGGTTTCAGAATTGAATGATCCTATATTACAAATATTTTCACGCAAGAATCCCAAATTTTATTAAAGGTGGCCTATATGAGAGATTTTACTGTACTATATCCGAAAAAACAACTTTTTTATAGTGATTTAATTTTTATTCCACCATCACATTGTTCATTTTGTAATTAGGCACTTTCAGAATTAAAATAATTACACTTATAATAACGAGCACAGTACTTGTGGCCGTTCCAGATGTTCGGCAGCTCTCGTGGTCACCGAATGGTGACCATATCTGAAAATGAAAACGCGGAAGACTTCACGGAAATACCAGAATTAGATGAGACAGCTTTCACATCACAGATGGGCGCTTCATCGGGAATTGTGCCTACCGAAATGACTACGTTTAGATGGTTTGCTACCAAATGGTCAAGTTGTTCAGAGACTTGCGGTAAAGATGGCTTTCAAATTCGTACCTTCCAGTGTGCGATTGTGTCCGGGAATATCACAAAGTTTGTAAACAACACGCTTTGTGAAGAATCCGGTGTTAAAATACCGAAAATCATGAAGAAGTGTGAGACTGAACCTTGTTCCTTTTGGAATGCATCCCACTGGACACCCTGCAATGTGTCGAAGTGCTTCAAATTAAATACAGGTGAGTTGATATTTATATCGGCTACATTTTTCGAACTTCCTTAACGAACATACGTTAAGAAAACAGGAATTGCGGTAGATTGTGACCGTTCTTTCTTTGATCATTGGAATTCAGTGGTGGAACAAACTTTCTCATATTCAAATCCTTAGTAGGTATTGCTGCTACTTTCCCCAACTCATACACTCTTCTGCGATGATGAAGTATCATCACATCGAGCACATCGGAATATTTCTGCTTATTCTGGACGTTGACATTTAGCCAATTTTGAATCAGACAAACCACGCGTACATCTTGTCCAACTTGCAGCTTCCTTTTCATAAACTTCTAGAAGAATTGAAACTGTTTCTGCCGCTGTTTTATTTAAACCAAACAGAATTTGGTCAAATGGGAAGGAAGAGAATCTTGTAAAGCCCTTTTCTCGTTGCTAGCTCAGCTAAAGGCATAGACTGCATCGTCTTTCTAATTTCTCATATTTTCTCACTCAGATCTTTCTACAAATCAGTATCACATAAATCAAAATGTTACTTCCGTAATCGTCAGTTTTTCAGCGAGTTCGGTCACTCGAAAGCCACTGCAAACTTGCATTTGAACATTTGCAGACGAAACTAAGATTTCTTGACTAATATACATACTCCATCAGACTTACTGCAGTGTTAAATTTATTGAGCTATTAGCGATGCTTTCGTGCATCGGTGGTGAACTTAAAGCCACTTCCGTTGACCTCTCCAAATACAAGAGCAAAGCTGCTTCGGAACTTCTTGTGTGAACAGTAACATCTGAAACACAAAAGCAAGCAACATCAGCAGATCTGTCGGAGGAAATCTGTGTTACTTGAATACAAGAAACTACTTGTAGCAAAGATGCTTTAACCAAAATGTCCTCTGGATTTGCCAAGTTCAGTCTCATTATTAAATCCTAGAAGTTGATGAATTCTTCTGATGTTTCTTTCCATACCTCATGTACTTGTAGTTCTTTTCAAATCGTCTATTTATATCTTTAATTGTACCCTCAAAATCGTCTTCTTCATTCACCCCCAAACGACGAATTGATCGGAATTTTTCAACATTTATTTTTCTTTAGGAATATATAGAGATTTATGATCATAACTCCTTGATCTTTAATACTTTTAGCAAGCAATTTCTGACCTTCATGATGGACGCAGAATGGAGGGCTATCATACCACATAGTCCCCATGGGGCTACGGTATTCAGTTGATTTACTTTTATTATACATATTGAATATTGATTATTACATTACTATGCTTTAATTATAAATGTATCGGATCTAGACCCAAAGTAAAATATTTATTCGAAGTTCTACTTCATAAAGTCTTTCGCCGTTGAGAATAGAGCACTCATCTATACATTTGATATATATTACCACTAAAATTTTTGTTTTTCTTGAATACAACAAAGCAATGTCGTGAATAGAAGAGTTATCTCTTAGTTTTACTTTCGTAGCAATTCAAAGACGGGAAGTTATCTGTCAACTTGAAAGCGGAGAAGTTGTAAATCCACGAAAATGCGACAGTAATAACAAACCTCCTTACAGGCAAGAATGTCACAATGTAAATTGTAAGGGGAAATGGATTGGCAGTCCTTGGTCTGCGGTAAGCATATTTAATTTTATAAAGAGGAAAAAAAGAAATATTGTATAGTTAATGTAAGATATAAGCTAAATTTTGATGAATTTCAAATATTGCAGCACATATATATATGTAATAGAATCGAACATTCGAAATTATTCTATTGAAAATTTGTTATCGTCTACTTACTTAAAACAACAGGAATGTAGGGAAGTAAAGTTTAGGAAGGGACTCATACAAGGATGCGTACTGTCACAGATATTTTCTAATCTGTATTTCGAAGACGCGATAAACATAATTAAAGACAGGACAACTTTAGGGATAAATATACAGGGGCAAAGGATTAATATGCTTAGATTTGCAGATGAGATTAGCATCTAACAAGGAGTAGTTAGAAATTGTCTTAAATAAAATGGAAGCGGTATTGGCACAACAGTCTTGTATGAAAATAATATATGTGAAAAAGACGAAAAATTAGAAGAAGTGTTAGGGCACCTTCTCAGGTATGAAGGGCTAGTTAGAGACATATTGGAACCAGAAACAGGAGTTAAGAGAGGTAGATTAGATTATTGCTCACAAATAGTTAACGATTTGGGATGATCTAGTTTTAGACTAATGCAAAGATTAGCTCAGGGTAGGAAAGAGTGGAGGTACGTGTCCAACTAGTCTTAGGACTGACTGACGACCTTATGATGATGATATCATATAAAGCATTAATGTAAAAAATATCTTTCATCGCTGTACAATTATTGTGAGGTCCTATTTTATCTTAATGTAATATTATCAACTGCAAAAGGAGCTGTAGCTCAGAATGAAGTCCAAAATTTATTTGCTTTGCATTCGTGCCGCCGCTACTCTGCATTTAGCGGGTTTCAGGGTTCACATCTGTTGACTTAAAGTAGGTCAACCGCTTGAACAGTGTCATAAATATCGTGTTTTATCTAAATGCGGTTTTAACTGTGCATCTATGCAGAACGACGCATTTGGCGTTCTGCATTTCTGACAAGAAAAACTAAACATCGTACTACATATTTTAAATTAAACCTAATCAGTAAAGGAAGCAAATGAAATAGACAACACGTAAACCGTATTATTGAAGAACATTTGCAGATTATGTCATTATTAGAAGGGCTAATTGGACTACCAATAGGAGCATTGTTGCTCGTTTCAATCAAAAGTTGCGGTGATCGAAATTCCAAACGCGTCATAACGATTACACAATTGCATTGTGCCCCATTGCGTCGTATGGTAAGAAGGGGTGGTGTCGAGCTTTAAAGCTTTCCCTTTCGAACACTATCACCCTTCGTTGTCCTTCTTTCTGTCGTCTTGCTCTACTACTAATCGCTTCAGATGCCACCTTGTAGGTATCAAACGTTGGCTCAAAAATTAAAGAAATGGATAGCAAAAAGGATGTCTTATGATAGTTTAAAGTAATCTATTGATTTTTGGACCTCCTGATGTTAGTAGCTACTCACACAATAAAATAAATGCAGTGCTTTCGTTAAACTGACCCACTGTGGAGCATGCAATGGCTTGCTGCATTTAACCGTTCATAATTGTAGTGTTCAGCAGCATGCGATTCAAATGGTTTCAAATACCGAATAATTCATTGTGTTTGGATTGGAACTAAGAGAATTGCTGGGAATGTATGTAATAACCAAAAAAGGCCTTCCGTTATAAAGAAATGTAAGGGGTCACCATGTTACACAAAAGGTAAATTAAAATCTCAATAACAATAAACTGCCAGTCTGTTTGAATCTCAAGAATGCGAGTATGTACTCTTTGTTATTGGAGGTGTAGTCGCTTCTTGAATACTGACTCAGGCTTTTGAATTCATAAATTAATGAGAGTACCAACTTGCACTATTAAGTGTTTGCTTTCAATTAGAATGATCAAAAGTAGACCGTTTGTTTTGGTCTTGAACTCGGTTTTGCTTTTGGTTTTACGATAATGCACGACCAACACCAAAACTATCTTTCTACTAGCAAAACCAAGATCGAGGCCGAACAGATTAGATGACCAAGACTGGGATACTTTTGGTCTTGGTATTACTTTGCTTCTCCCTAGTGGATCATGGCTGTACAATTTCTATAAATGTTTTTGCAGCTAAATATTTTTTTGTCTTTTGAAAGCATCTTTTTCAGATTCTTTATGCAGAGATATTTCTCAGTTCTGTCCCAACGTAAGAAAGATGAACCTGTGCCGACTGAAGCATTACAAACATCAATGCTGCCAAACTTGTCGACACATCCAATAGGATTTATTAAGGAAGGTCTAGCGGTGTACAAATTAAAAAGGTATTAACTAAACAAAAATAATGTCACGAATGAGATTCCGTGTGGAGGGGATTATTGGTTCGTGTAAAAGACTGATATTTCACTGGTCGTTAGCAAATATGATATAAGTAAAGGATCTCTTTGTTTGTTTCCGAGAAGAGAACGAGAGTATAATTCATAGAGTTATTAATGAATAATAATAAAATAATTAATTTCATGACAAACATTTCGCTGTTCCTTGAACTATTCATAAAATGGCTTACCTACTAAGTATTAAAGTTTTACAAACAATTTCAGTTACCAGCACTTAAATATTACGAAAAATAATAAGTAATTTTTAAATAACTGTAAATAAAATTATTCCAATAGGTGCATTTATATATATNGATATTTACCATACAGGGGTTGTTACAAATTAAAACGGAGGGCGACAAGTAGACCTTATACTGGCACGTTTGTGAGATGCAGGGTCGAACTTCTTAGGCGAACATTTACAGATATACTTGGCTTTATTACAAACAATATTCGATGAATATTATAACCATAAAAGATGTTTCAAAGAAGAGCAGTTTCAACTATTTATAAAATAGTGGACATCTTTCGTTGCTATTTAGAGAAGGTCCTTTAAAAGTTGAACATTTCTCCGTTACTTCTTTTAAATGTTTTCAGTGAATTCTTTACCTCATCCAATTCAATAGTTCATTTCTATGTTCCTTAAATACCGAATTTCTTGGCTTCTGGGGGATGACTCTTGCTACAACTACAATAACCCTCCATTTCAATCTCCAAGTTAAATACTCATTTGGATGGTGTTCAAGACTTCGTCATAAACATCTTCCGTTTTATGTCAGTGGTCCTTTCTTTTCTAGCATGTCTTCCTAGCTATAAACTGCACGAAAATTGGAACTTGCTTTCAAACAGAACATGTTTTACAAAAATTTAAAGCATCATCAATTCCAATTTATATCCGCGGTTCTTTATTACCTACATTGCGGAAGAGATAGAGGGTAACCTTAATAAATCCAATAATAACTATATGATGGAAAGGTTTATTTTTTAATAAGGGATGATGTCACCGTTAGTTCCATCATGAATGTCATGATTGTCATCTATTTTAGGCAATAAGAAAAAAATCTCCAATATAATAATTTATTCTGTCATCCATAATCGTACTTAAAATCAAATGAATTCAATACTTGTGTATTATATAATGTCAATGACACTTACGCTATGAAAATTTGTTAGGATAAGCCCTATTAATATCTGCGTTTAGGTAGTAGGGCATATTCTAATATGGCCTTTATAAGAGAGTGAGCAGCAACAATGATTTACGGAATACCTTTTTTAGACCAGTTGTACAGCTTGGTCAGACTCGATGCACATTACATGATCAGGGTCAACAGTCTGGCTACACGAATGGGCCCAATTCTTCTATTTTCTGATTAGGGCCCATTCAAAATTATCCTAACAACTTATACTAAGTTTATAATATAAATGAGTTAAAATAAAAAGTATTAGTTTCTGTAAAATATTGTAGTTTATATCAGAGCATATTTCTATCAATTTTAAGAAGCATGGCGAATGTTCTGGAATGCCCTTAACACTAATACTAACATTAATTTATATTAATACAATTCCTGCCATTAGACACTTCTCTTCTAGGTTCATTCCCGAAGAGTGGGGTCCTTGCAGTGTAACCTGCGGCGAGGGCATTCGAAAACGCGAAGTTCATTGTAAAATATTTCTAGAATTTTCAAAAACAATCGCTAAACTTCCCGATCAGCAATGCACAGGACCGAAACCTATCGAAGTAGAAAAGTGTTTTATGGAGTCTTGTTCTTCCGAACGAATCGACATAAAAGACGATCCTTATCGGTCTGAGAATATGCCGCCGGGAGCAACGTATTCCTGGAAGACGGAGGGTTTTACCCAGTGCACGGCGTCATGTCTAGGCGGTGTTCAGGAACTTATAGTGAAGTGCGTTCGCGATGATACACAGAAAGAAATAGCCTTTTACATGTGTCCGAAAGAGACAAAGCCTCAAGTGGTTGTGCAGGCGTGCAACGACTTTGCGTGTCCTCCGAGATGGAATTTTTCCGATTTTTCGTCGTGTTCTCAGTCGTGTGGTATTGGCATACAAACTAGGGAAGTACACTGTATTCATGAAGTTTCTCAAGTAGGAGGAAGTATTATTAACGTCCCTAGTGATAGATGTCCTCAGCCGGCACCGCCCGACAGGCAATTCTGCAATGTCCTCGATTGTCCAATAAGATGGAAAACGTCCGAGTGGTCAAAATGTAGTAAGAGTTGTGGCGGAGGCGAGAAAACACGCAGCGTGGAGTGCAAACAGGTCATGGCCCAAAACCATACAGTTGAAAGACCCCTCTCTGCTTGCCCCGGCCAAAAACCACCCGACAAAAAACCGTGCAACACTAAAAGCTGTGTAACTGATACAGATAAACCCATAATCGATACCCTAAATACGACATACATTCAACACGATTGGAAAAAGGACAAGGTATCCCTTAGGGTTGGTGGTGCAGCCACCGTCTTCTCGGGTACGACAATAAAAATTAAATGTCCGGTTAAAAGGTTCAATCGATCGCTTATTGCTTGGACAAAAGATAACAGTCGTTTGCAGAATATTAAAAAATATAAAGTATCAAAGAAGGGGGCGCTACGAGTGTTGAACATCAGTCATAAGGATCATGGGATTTACACTTGCACTGCTGGAAAGTCTTCCGCTAGTCTGACGTTAATGGTGAAACCTAGACCAGGAGAATTTCCGTCGTCAGAAGAAATACAGAAACATTCGCAAAAGTACATGGAGAAACAGGGACGCCAAATTGGATTGTCCAGATATCCGACTATGGTTCCCGATTGGAATGAGGATCTATCCCATGAAGGTCAAACGGAACTAGTTAGGAAAACTTCCACGAGCAAGAGCAAAGCTCCGACATATTTGTCAGTTAGTGAAAAACCCATTAGCAGTAACAGTCTGAATGGCTTGCCTCCCGACGACATCAACACGAATTTCGATTATAGGGTATGTACCTACCAAATTTATGGGTTCAACATTCTCAAAAGGGTTTTGTCAGAATGCATTATAAAATACTTGTACGAATAATTCACATGCAAGTCTGTTCAAATGTATCAAGGAATTCTTGGTATATTTAGATACTAAAAAACTCATAAGTCGATTAATAAAGCAAGTTCGTACTTGTTATTTGTACTGTCAAATTCATATTCAGGTCACTCGTATAGAGCTGGAACATCTAAATTGTTTATTTGAAAGTGAAAAGTAAAACCAACTTGCCTACTGTATTAGTAGGTCAATTAGCAGCTGTTTAAATAGCCGTACAATAATTATAATGAAGAAGAAGGAGAAGTCGTCAGTCGAGGGTCGAATTCAAGATCATGATAATACAGGGTGGTGAGACGGCTTATCGTTTTCACTCACCTTGTGATTGTCCTCTACCATTTCTATGTTCCCCAATATGTATAACATGGTGCGGTAGTTATATTGCTAAATAAATAAATGGTGGACGTACAGGGAACATGTTAAAATGAAGCGAATTTTCCACCATGTTATGAAGAATTGGGTATATATGTTTATTTGGCAATATAACTACCCCACCATGTTAGACAGCGACGAACGTTATTAGATAATTGGGGAACGTGGAAATATCACAGGGTGAGTGAAGACGGTAAGTCGTCTCACCACCCTGCATCATCATGATCTTGAATTGGACTGTCGACTGACGACTTCTTCTTCTACATTATAATCATTGATTCCGCTATTTAAACTGTTGCTAATTGACTTACTAACACAGTAGGTAAATAAGTGTTGCCTTGCAGTTTTAAATAAACAATTTAGATATACCAACTGTGTTCCAGTGACCTGAATATGAATTTATGAATACTATGCAACAGTACCTTATTTATCAAGTCTCCCCTTTTTACGCTGCCAGGATGTGTCTTTAAACACGCCCGCTTTATCGAATTCCGAAGCGGGTGTTTTAGAAGGCACTTCAAGTTCAGGAAACCGTGTTATGCCACACTTTCAACAACTTTTGTTAAATTTGCAGGTAAGGAATAAATATTCAATGCGTATAATCAAATAATCATGCATACATATTAGAACAAATAAAATAGCTGAATCCCCAACGCCTTCGGACAACTAAAGTGTCGTGTTTTGGAGTTGGGATTTGAGCTATTTTGTTTGTTCTACAACAACCGCCAAAGTTTTTCCAATCTTCATATGCATATATATTATCATAATTACCAACAGAAAAGTATAAATGTAAAATCAGCAACCTCTACTTCTTCGTTTCTAATTTAAATAAAGTGTATGTAACTGGATGCATTAATGAATAATCGCAGACAGCGTTGTAAACGCCATCTGTAGAGATTTATCTTTAGTAAATGTTGCAAACCCAAAATTGTATTAGTTGCGTTAGCTGTGGTAAATACATCTACCGAACTTTGAGAATAAAATCAGAGAGAGTGTCATAAACAGTACAATCATGCAGGCAAAATCTACTATGTATTTGCTGTATACAGTTATGGCCAACTCTTTCATATGCATACATGAATATATGTATGTATGTATATATGTATGTGTATATAACGCAATGTAATGTCCAATGCAGAATATCTAGAAACCCTTCACATCGAAATTGCTTTGTAGTGCGGGATTTAACTTGACTCTGTTTTTCAATTTCATACTCACTTTGCGCTGCCATAAATGCAAATGTATCTAAACGTACATGTACGTAAAGAAGAGAGCACTTAATCTGGTTTAAATTGTTACGTATATGACATTCGATTTCGCATACAGTCAAAGCAAATGTTAGAATTCTTTGTGTTTACTAGGAAATAAAAGATGTGACAAAAGAAATTTAATAACATAACTTTGTAGTCGAGGATTAGGAGTGACGATACAGTACGGTAAAACGGTAAAACCTCTCAACAGCAGTCAACGTATAAAAGATAATCTGATACGTTGAAGCCTCTCAATCTCTGCTACTGAAAATTGCATAAAAATGGGAACCCCTTGAAAGGGATGACCGTTAGGTGCTTCAAGATAACAAAAATTCATTACAGTTGAAGTGGTATATAATTTACAAATTATATACGCATATGTAATATAATATAAAACATAATAAAGTGCCTAATGGAATTATACAGGGTGTTCCTGAAATAAGAAGGAAGCTTGCAGGAGATGATAGGTCATTAAAAAACAAGAAAATTAAGTAAATGTTTAGTGGCTCGAAAATCCATCGTCAACCGTCACTGTTTACATTTTTCATCGATGTAGTAGTTGCTTAACTGTTATCGCAATTTCTCCATAAGTTACCAATTCACGCCCAGGGCCGGCTTCAGATTACAACTTCGCCTGGTTTTCCTACAATTTTTTGTCCCTTAATCACGCTGTTTTACTCACTATGCGATTTTCTATTGTATCTAATAAATACCTTCCAAAGTTAGCTATTAATTTCAGAAACACTCTGTATTTTAAATCTTTAATTTCCTTCTAACTATAGAAATGATTGGTTATGTTAATGGCCGCTATTAAAAATAGAAAATATGTAATGTTGCCAAAAGATAATGATTGAAGCGATCGTGGTTGTTTAAGGGAGGTTTCAGAATTGAATGATCCTATATTACAAATATTTTCACGCAAGAATCCCAAATTTTATTAAAGGTGGCCTATATGAGAGATTTTACTGTACTATATCCGAAAAAACAACTTTTTTATAGTGATTTAATTTTTATTCCACCATCACATTGTTCATTTTGTAATTAGGCACTTTCAGAATTAAAATAATTACACTTATAATAACGAGCACAGTACTTGTGGCCGTTCCAGATGTTCGGCAGCTCTCGTGGTCACCGAATGGTGACCATATCTGAAAATGAAAACGCGGAAGACTTCACGGAAATACCAGAATTAGATGAGACAGCTTTCACATCACAGATGGGCGCTTCATCGGGAATTGTGCCTACCGAAATGACTTCGTTTAGATGGTTTGCTACCAAATGGTCAAGTTGTTCAGAGACTTGCGGTAAAGATGGCTTTCAAATTCGTACCTTCCAGTGTGCGATTGTGTCCGGGAATATCACAAAGTTTGTAAACAACACGCTTTGTGAAGAATCCGGTGTTAAAATACCGA